GTATTAATATTCAATGCGTTCTTAGCATCCTGAAAATCTTTTTTAAAAAAACAATAAAGACAATAAGAAATATGTGTGTTTAAGAAAAAAAGGTTTCTGAAGACAGGACCTTATCCTTTTGCCTGTATGAAGAATTTCACTGTCTGACTGTATACAGTACCTGGTTAGAGATTTATTTGATATAAAAGTAAATTTTAACATGATTCTTTGTTGCCTGATTCAAATGTGTGGAGGGAAGTATTTCATATTTTAAAAACCCAGTAGGGTGATTAATCTTTCTTAGATTGATTCCTGGTTCTGAAAAACTGTTTCCAAAACACTAACATTTTCAGGTATGTACTTTTTGCATACAGGATCTGATATAATCCAAGAAAAATACGTCGAAGTGCTTTTATTTATAGTTGTCTTAGAAAGAGAGGCTTACCTCATGTAGGCCATAAGTCTTCCGGAAGCCCGTGATAAAACAAAAAGAACTGCTCAAGTCTATAATGTCCAGAAATATATGTCACATTGATGTCAATGAGATTTATTGTCTGATAAATACATATAAGATTGCAGCCAAAAGTAATCAGGTCTTTATATAAGTCTAGCTGATAAGGTTCAGGTCTGCTATTAAAGATCTTGTGGACTAGAAGGCTTCCAGAACATTACCAGCTATACTTATCTGCAAGACTATTTCTAGATCTATGTTTCTAGCTGCAATACAATGGTGCTTCGGAGTTGTTCATTTACTTCAGAATTAAAGGCTTCAGAAACTCTGCTTCAGTTGCGTTGGTGAGGTATTTGAGATGCTTAAATAGTGAAGTGATTACGTCTTGGGCAGCCATTAAAAGCATGACCCAGAGAGCAGCTATGAAAGTGCCCAAGGCATCTAACGCCTAATGGGACATTTGACCTCCTACTTCTTAATGGCATCTCCTGTTGTTGTAGTCCGAGGTGGTTTTGAAACTTCCCCAGTTGTTGCAAAGAAGCCTAGCTATTGTAAAAACAACTGCAACAGAACAAACATTGCTGTAGGCAGATCCCCAGAGGGAATGCATTGGCAAAAAAGGGGCAGGGGCAAAAGAGGACACTGAGATACATAAAATTGTTTATGCTAATTTAAATATTTAGCTACAAAATTCAAAATTATTTAAATTATTTAAATAGAATTGCAGCGTATCCTACCTGAGTAGAGCTGCTAAGCCAGGTGCTCAAGCCATTAGGTTGGCTTGTAAGGGAAATTGTGCGGAGCTCCTCCAAGTGAGGTTTGACACAAATGCTCTCTGTGGATGGACTACTTTCAGGGTCTCTGATCAGCCTATCTAGGAGTTCCTTTGGGGGGGAAAGCAAAGACCACTGATTTGGACATCAAGGAACAGAGTTTAGAGTGTTTACCTCTTAAAAGCCTGGCTTTAAATCCTTTTGTATTCAACCATACCCATGGTTCAAAGGGGAGAAACAGATGGGAGTTCATCTCGGGTGTTGAAAACAGAGCTTTTAAAGGAGTAACAGGACACAACAACCAGTAACAGGACATTTACTAATTTCCCCATGAGGTTTTTTTTTGCTCTGCAAGTCGTGTTTATTTGATGATGAGTCACTGGGACATAAGCACAGAATTCATTTGAAAGTCAGTCAAATGGCTTGGAAGCTTTGGGGGGAAATGCAGAGGTACAATGCTTTATCACTTTCTAATTGTGAAGCTGCCATCTCATCTATTTCTGCTCTCAGTTCTGCTCTTTGTTTTTGACAAGCCCCTCTTCTTCAACAACCACTTGGTCATCAGGTACAACATGATTGTCTACATAGAGGGAATAGCTGTACCAGCTGAATTTTCCCAGTGCAGATAGTTGAGAATTTCATTTGCTTTGTTTTGAGTATACTGTACCACAATCCACAAATTTCTTGATGAATTTGACAGAAGGAGCTTGAGATTCAAGAGAAGAAAAAAAAAGAATAGAACCAAATACGGGATGAAGCAAAATTGACATGCTTCCTCTTCTGCATTTACTTTTCCTCGTAAGGTTTGAACCCATTCGTGACAGATAGCACTGGTGTCCTCCTTCTCTTGGGCTCAGCCCACCACAGCCTTTGGAATGGTAAGAGGGGGTTAAAGAGGAGAATGAATGTTGCTGAAATGAGACACGTTGCTGTGGTTGACAAGAGAGAGAGAAGGAGGAAGGGAGAGAAGGAAAAAAAACTGAGAATGAGGAGTTGAATCTTGTGGCATAAGGTGGAAGGAAAAAGTTGGGACAGTTCAGGGAAATGATACAAGAAGTAACAATCGTAGCAGAAACAATGTTTGATGGTCATCTCTAGACTGGCATTGTCTGTATCGTGTTCAGGCCTTGCAAATACAGTTTGATTTGTGTTTTAATTGCTACTTGCTTATTTCATCAGGGGAGCTACTGATTTCAAGCCATGTACCAGTAGAACATAGAAAACAGGGAACCCTTTCCTTTTGTGGAGTTTCCTTATTTCCTTTAGGAGCCTGAGTAGTTTCTGGATAAAAGAAATAAATTGTGATACAGGATCCCCAAGTAGTTATCAAAGGGACACATATTTCCTGAGTCTTTGTCAAATACTCTAACCACTATTTGACATTGGCTATCTCTGTGCTGCTCTATGACTCATAAGACTATTAAGCTCTACCGCTTGGCTGTTCTCACAGTGCTGCTGTGGCTGCAAAGGGAAATTACCTTCAACTGAATGTGTATGGGAAGTAGGATTGTTATTGAACTAAAGGGAATTTATTTTGCCACCTGGTCTGGTTTCGTTCTGATTCTTAGATTTAACTTTGCACAGAGCTAGGCAATAGACATTTTACATTTGCTCATTTTAAAGCCAGAAGTGGCAGTGGCCACCAAAAAAGACAGGTTGCAAAATGGAGGCAAAAGTACTGCAGTGATTAAGGTCTAGACGGCAGTCAAAGCACTCTTCCTCTCCCCTGTCTATAACCAGAATATAGCAAAAAGTTCCCAGCCACATTTGAAGACCACAGGGTTGCTAGACCAGCCACCAGACTCCACAACTATTAAGGGAAAGTTTAGCTTATACTTATTTCTGGTCTTATTTAAGCAAAAGACAGATGGTTCTGGCCTTCCAGGTTTTGTTGGACTGCTTTTCTCATCACCCATAGCCACCATAACTAACAATGACGAATGCTTTTATCCAGAAACTACTCAGGCTCCTAAAGGAAATAAGGAAATTCCACAAAAGGAAAGGGTTCCCTGTTTTCTATGTTCTACTGGTACATGGCTTGAATTCAGTAGCTCCCCTGATGAAATAACCAAGTCAGGTAACATTTGGAGAGCTACACTTGCCCATGTGTCAGGTACGTTTGTGAAATACACCAGAAGCATTCTGAAGTGCGTATGTCAGATTAATTTTCACAAAGTTTTGTTTCCTGCAATTTCATTGGCAACCATGTTACTTCTCACAGAGCGGCATTCAACTCATTCTGAATCATTAGGTTTCCTCAGCCCTATTCAGGCACTATATTAGCCAGCATTTTGAACATGACTAAAGGAAGCAGCTAGTCATGCTTGCATGTAAGATCTACATACACAAGCACCTGTTGCTGGACTGCATATCCTGGATTGTCCAGTGGCTTCACTTACGTTAGAGCCCAGCTGTGAACAGTTGCTCTCTCTTCAGATTTGACATTGAAATGGGGTAAAACAATGGTTGTGGATGGACGGGGCAGTGTTTGGTATTCCCCTGTAACCATGTCCATAATGCCAGCTAATACAACGCCTGAGTAGGGTTGTTTTGAATGCTCTTCTACCTGGAAAGGCCTTGGCTGCTCTTAGTCATTTGCTCCTTCCACTTACTCTTTAATGTCTCATTTACACTGAAAAGTCATATTTGAGAGTCAGTACAGTAAGAATATGTTTTTTCAAGCCTTCCTGGCATTCTGGCCTTTTGGCTACCAGGAATTTACAGCATAATAACAGAAAGCAATATGTACTTGATTGTTTGCTGAAAAAATGTACGGAATGGCATTTCAATAGAAGGCATGAACTGTCAACTGCATAAAGGAAATTTCCACTGGCAACGACAATCAGGACCTTAGCATTGCGAGCTTAAGTCTTACTCACTGATGTCAAATGAGTTTGACATTAGGACAAGTACAGGTTGTAAAATCGGCCCACTTTCCACCCATGTCCTCAGCATGGAGGAGGTGACTGGACATAGGCAGCGTCCAGCCATTCTGGATTATACCCAGAGGTTGCTCAGATAAAAGTCCATGACCATAACAAATCCTTTTTCATACCAAGCTGCCTCCTGGGCTTATCTTTTCCCCAAAGCTTCTGCAGAGGGTTTGGTGGTTATCCAGAACAACTTGGACTTTGTTGTGGGCTGACAAGTGGGAGGAGTGGAGACATCACTTCTGAAACATTTTTTTTAATTCAGGGAAAGGATAAGTACTGTACAGTCCAGAAAAAATCCTTTAAAGAAAATAATTGAGAAAACAATTTTACAGTTCATTGTTTATTATGTGGCATTTCTCTTCCTCTTATTTTCCTTTTCTTCTGTTCTTGTCTTGTTGGTATAATTACAAATATATTTGTGAAAAGGGGGAATTATATTTCAGTGTTTCAGATATGTTTCAGTGTTTCACTATGCACTGAATCCTCATATATTAATGTGTACATTCAGTCCTCAGATGTCTCCTTAAGCACCTGTTTTGGGGAGAATAGTAGTATAATAATCTAGCTCTTCTACATCATTGTTGTTGTCATCACGGTCACAATATTTCCAACAATGAAAGTTGTCATTTAATGGGAAGATCTTTCAACATTCCATTGTAAACTTTACAAGCTGGAATGAGCACACTGGCACTGATAAGGGTGTCAGTCTGATATGCTGCACTGTCTGGAGATTTTTTGAAATGGATTCTAAGTGCTCTGGGACTTGGTCTCAACCTGTGATATTGGATCACATGTTTTGTATGCAGAGTGTACTTATTGAATGTCCCCAACTTTAACCTTTTGTTTTTTTTTCTTTTGCTCCAGGTTGAATTTTGATTCTGGAGGCACCCAAGGCATCCTCTGTGCCAAATAGCTTCTGCCGTCGGCAGTCTTCCATTGACCTTCTTTTATAAATCATTGTTGGTCTCTTTCCACTGAACCAATGACCAGGGATTCCACCATAGCCTCAGTTCCAGTTTTCCAGTTTCAGAAAATGGGATCATTCCGGAGACCTCGGCCACGTTTCATGAGTTCTCCAGTGCTTAGTGATTTGCCTCGGTTCTTGGCAGCCCGACAGTCTTTGCAGCTCAGCTCTAACTCTGCATGGAACAGGCAAGTAGAAATGTATGAGCTCACAAAGCTCCCTGATGCCAGCTTTTTTTTACACTTGTTGTCATGTTCCTTAACATATCTTGAATCTGCATACACCAAAGTTGTGGAATTAGTTTCAACCTGAGGACTGAATCCTGTTTCAGATAAGCTTCTGAGGCCTGCATTTGGTTGGGAATGGTGGTGATGGGAAATGGAACTAAAATGCCAACATATTCTTAGCATTAGAAGAGGTATTATTATTTTCAAAATAAGAAACCAACCTGTAGAAAAAGTGGGAGCCTCCCAAACTATGTTATCCTGGTGAAGGTATCACAGATCCCCAAGTAACCCCAGAAGGCCAGAGTTGGACCCCTAAAAGGGCTGGATTTTGCTCCAGCTTCCGATGCTCTACACCAGTCCTGTCTCTACTCCTTTCTCCAGTAACCAAAGTTCATCATCATAGGTAATGACACTGGGTATCTCAATAGGTGGTAGGTTTGTGTTAAGAGGCACATCCTGAACTGGAGCCAAATCAGAAAGTCCTTCTCTGAATTTGGTGAAGGCTCTCATTCCTTCTCTTGACTTTCAGTAGTCTTGGGAACCTTCCAAGGAGAACATGTAGTTGCAGTCTCCTTAGTGAGACTGACATAGCACTAAAGGTCTAGACACTTCCATCATCTGGATCATATTCTGTCCCATCTTCCTGGTATTAGCTGCGGTAAATCCTTTCACTTTGTGTTTGGAGGAAGCAAGTATATCGGCGCCCCCCCCCTTGTGAGTTTGCTGTTGAATAAGAGGATGAATGGTCATGTAAAAGCAGAATGGCAGCACATTCCTTTGGGGTCTTATAAAGTGTGCTGTTATATGTCTCTGTATTGGTCTCTTGGTGTGTGTTTAACCTGGGTTCCCTGCTTTGTTACTTATTGCCAGCCATAGGCAAACCATCTGGTGATTCAAGGGAGGAAGAAGAAAGCAGAAGTAATTTCAGGATAATTAATCTCCTTCTCTCCTTACTGATAAATTGACATGGCTCTTGACTGCCCTTTCATTGCTTAGTGTAATTATACTGAAGTTTGTTATTTGTGGTGGCTATAACTGTCTCACTTCTTACTTGACAGTGTTCAAACAGCAGTGATCAATGTGTTCAAAGGGGGAGGCCTGCAAAACAATGAACTCTACACCCTCAATGAAAATGTCAGGTATGTTTTTGACTCTGACTCTGCTGGATGGGAATAGCCTACCTGATTTAGACCATGTGCTGCAATTGGGAACTGCATATGATGGTTGATCTTATATTTTTTTAGATTTACATCCTTCTTTTTTTAATTGGCATGTTCAAGTTTGTAGACACAGAAACTGTGGCATGTAGCTATTGTGTCGAAACCTTGGTCCCCACCCCACCCTAAAGTAGGAAGTATAAGTATCATTTGATGCAAAATGATTCTACCTAAGGAAGCAAAGAGCTGTTAAGGCCCTGTTTTTGCTGCTGACATCTGACAATTTACGGTGTGGTACAAACTGATTGTAAAGGTCAGCGTTCAAGCCTTTCCCCCCCTGCTGCTAAATGTATTACCCCTGTGGCAAATCCCTTACTCTCCTGCTATAACATTTAAAACATCATGATCAGACATTCAAATGCTTTAAATATCCATGTGTATCTATCAGGGTCATTTTAGCTCTAGTAAGGCTAGCTCTAGTAAGGGACATGGTGGCACTGTGGGTAAACTGCAGAAGCCTGTGCTGCAGGGTCAGAAGACCAGCAGTTGTAAGATCGAATCCACGTGATGGAGTGAGCTCCCGTCTCTTGTCCCAGCTCCTGCCAACCTAGCGGTTCGAAAGCATGCAAATGCAAGTAGATCAGTAGGGACCACCTCGGTGGGAAGGTAACAGCGTTCCGTGTCTAAGTCGCACTGGCCATGTGACCACGGAAGATTGTCTTCGGAGAAAACGCTAGCTCTATGGCTTGGAAACACCGCCCCCTAGAGCCGAACACGACTGGACAAAAATTGTCAAGGCGAACCTTTACCTTCACCTAAGGCCTATTACTTGCCTTGCCAAATGGCAAAGATCAAAGTTCCCTTTTCTTTTCTGGCATTGTTCTCAGACTGGCTAACCAAATACCTTTGTCAGAAGCTCCTAAAGTGAGACATTGATTCAGTGTAATTTTCCCTCTCAGGCTCTCCTGCAACTGATATTTAATGGACTGCTGCCTTTGATACTGAAATCTATAGTTATCACGATTAATAGTGAAAATGATCAGTCTCTCTCTCCCCCCTCCTCCCGTCTGTTAGTCTGAGGGCTCTGCACTGGATTGTTTGGAGCAGGCTGTATGGGCTAAATAGAGTCCTTTAGGGTCCTGCAGAGTTCTGGCATGTCATTTAGTGTGATCTTTTGCATTCAAATGGCATACTCATCTCAAACAGCCCTATTTGGTCAGCCTAACTGTTACAGCAGCAAAAATACCCTCCTTGCTCCCTTTTCTTTTCCCCAATTCTGGGAGGAAGTTTTAAATTTTAATTTGTTTCCAAACTTTATCAGCACTGTCATCGTACAGTTTTTTTAAAAAACTACTTTTTCTCTATCCATCAGTCAGAGGAAGTGTTTAATTTCCCAATATCATGACATGGCTAAAATCTTCTTAAGCCACTTCGCAACATTGACAAACTCTGCACTCTCAATGAAAATGTCAATAGCAATAAGCTCACTTTGATTCATTTCCAGTGATTGCACATGCTGGAAATGAAACCAAAATAGAGCAATCCTACCTGCATAAAAAAATAAAGTCTATAAAGGACCCAGAAAGGTGCTGGTAACATTGCTCTGGAGATGGGCTGGTTTACTTCAGCAATTACATAGTGTGATTGCTAGAAGGAGTGAACCAGCTGGCCTTCCATTGCTTGAAGGTGGGCTATCTGGCCATCCGGTAATCTTTCCTTTTATATATATATATATATAAGTTTGGTATGAACATTTTCTTTTTGCTAGATATCTTAATCTGAGCTGTTTAATGAATGGTACAACCCCAGTATACTTGATAATATTGGCACTGACTTCTTGGTATACATTGTTCTTATTTTCAATTGTCATGTCATGATGTATTTTACATTTTATAAAGTATTAAGACTGTGAAATATCGTGATTGATACTGTATTTGTATGTTTTGTCAAGTGCTTTGAGTATAACAAATATTGGAAAATGTAGTATATAAACAAAGAAGTGCTTGGATATGGCCACTCTTAGTTTGTTAAATGCAATAATAGGCTGATTTAGTACCAAAACAGCTCCCTTCTATGTTTGAAATTAAGGTTGGCAATATAAGCGTCTCTGTGCCACAAGGAGAAAAATAGCTTCAGAAGATAATATTAGCACAACAAAAAGATGTTGTAGGTGTCTCATAGTACCGAAAGTGGACTCTGGTCTCTGAAGTAAGAATGCAAGGAAGACTTGCAAGTTTTCATGACAAAAAGGCTCTCGACAAATCAAGGCATTCTGTTGAATAACAATCACCTTATGTAAGACTTTTCATTCTTCCACAAGAGCAAAAATGCTTGGAATTTTTTTGTCAGCTGTAGCATGGAGATATATCTATATCTATCTATCTATCTATCTATCTATCTATCTATCTATCTATCTATCTATCTATCTATCTATCTATCTATCTATCTATCTATCTATCTATCTATCTATCTATTATATATAACAATAACAAACAAAAGCCACAAACAATAACAAACAAAAGCCACAAGCTATCAGTGACACCTTATCTACATTGGTGATAACAGTAGATGTCTACTTAAGAAACATGCCAGAATGAAAGGAAATTGTGTCAGAATGACTTAGAGACTTTATTGATGCACCTGTTTATTTATTGAACCATCTGTATATTAAAATCAGGCATTGTGTTCTTCAGGACTCTTCATCAGGTTGCACATTGCAATGCTTGCCAAATCGGGCAGAAAAGTCACAGTATCATTCTTGCTATGTGTTGAAGCCTCAGGATGTGTAGTTAAAATGAACTTTCAAGATGGATGCTACAAATGTCAAGAATCGGTTTGAGATGTGTTGATTGTCTCAGGTTTAATCCCAGGGAAAGGAGATAGAATTTAACAGACTTCCTCTGTTTCTGTAGGCAAAGGGAGACAAGTCATTCAATGAACCCTCCAGTCTATTGCCTTTTGATTGATTTTTGGACTTGTTTGTTTCCCCCCCCCCATCCTCACCTCCAAGTTTTTCAGTGTCAAGCATTTGAAGACTCCTGCAACCCTTGAAAGCTCACCTATTTTTGATACTTAAGCTGTATGGAAGCAATATTAGCCATCCTTCATTTTGTATATTGCACAAGCTTTCTTTTTTTGTTTATCTTGTGTTTTGAGGATTTCAATAAAAATTGGTTGAGTTTGGGAATTTTGCCTGTAAGTGGTTTCATAATATGTGACCTATTTTTTTTCCAGACGATTGTTGAAGAGTGAACTTGGATCCTTCATCACAGACTACTTCCAGGTAATTTGTGTTTCTCAAATAGATGGTTAAAGCATACTGAAGTTGTGTTCTTGTTATCTTTTGCCTTGTGCTTTTGATACTTACTTTGTTACCTCCTGCCCAGTAGTCTAACCACTATACCATGGTGGCTCTTTCTTCTGAAGAAGAGACTGAATTTTGAGCAAATACTAATAACATTTTTAACAGCCTTGTTTGTGTTTCAGTAATTATCTGAAATTAAAACAGATATCTCTGCTCCAGTTTGTCATGAGATGCAAGTCAGTTTATTGGGAACAGGAAAGTCTGAGGGTGGTGCCAAGAGACTTAATCAGGTTTGCTAATCAGAACTTATGTTGTTCTGACCCCGTGAGTTCAGGATGAAATGGTATAACAGGCTTCCATGATGGTCTGTCAAGGAATGACATGGACTAAAAGTGCTTGGCTAAGATTTACTCACCAGAGATTCATGCTATGATGATGGTACTTAATTCTCCTTTTTGACAAGACCTTTATGGTGTTGAAATATAAATGCCACACATTTTAATTTCTATGTGGAATGCACATTAAATAAGTGTCAGCTTATATATATTTAGTGTGCATTTGTATGTATTTAGTTTGTGCCTTTGAAACAGTGGGTGGAAATATTATTTCAAAAGTCTTTTCAGAGAGTTAGATGTGGCTTTCTGACTTTTGATTAGTCTATAGAAAGGTAGTAATTCAAAAACTGAAAGAGAGGCTGAATTCAGTTGCAGAAAACCTCTTACTGTCTGTAGCCAAGTTGTAGGAAAAAAACATTTCAACCGTTTAAAATGGGAAAACCCATAAAAAGATTGGATTCTCTCCAAATGATATAATTCAGAGAAGGGTATGGCCAGCTGGGGAACCCCTAAAGCTTGAGTTGGGGCTCTGGAACAGCCAGATTCAACCCCAGGACTTTGTGTTCTTTAATAGGGAAATGAACTGTGAAAATTTTCTTTATTGTTTAATTTCAGGTTCAAAAGAGGGGTCTTTTTCATTATCATGTCTTTTGTGCACTCATCCTTTTGATAAACATGAAAAGACCAGACCTTTCATGTATGCCAATGTATAAATTTTGTTTTTCCCATTCAAGTTTCTATTATTATTCCAAATTCAGCCTTACAGAACCCTTAAAGTAGCTGCTTCAAGAAAGCAGGGGCAGGGCAACAGAACCAGTCTTCTCCAAAAGCAAGTACTGTACCAGTATAACCAGTCACAACCAAACAACACAGTCCCTGAAACTCACCAAAATAAATGTCTTCAGCAGAATAAGTAAAAATACATAGTGTGCACCATTTTTAAAAAACCAATCAAACAGAGAAAGCACCCATATCACTACCTCACACATGAGGTGGGGTAGAGAAATAGCAAAATAAAACACACAGAGAGCTTACCCTCTGAAAAAGCAAGGAAAGCAAGCAAGCAAGCACATAAAGGCAAAAAGTAAAATAAAAATGATTAGAATATGGCAGCACTTGCCTTTTCTTCTGTATTTTAAGTTCAGAACAACAGCAAAAGCTCTGTTTTTGGGAATCTATGAAATTACATTTTTCATGTTTTTACCTTTCATGTTAACACGAAAGTCCCATCTTTTTGCTGCACCCTTGAATGCAAACAGATGCTGGTAGTTGTAATAGTGCTGTAGCTTATGACTGTTGAAAATTTTACCCAAATACACATGCACTATGTAATCAGTAGTGTATGTATATTTATGTGCATTTTTTAAAAAAATGTATCTGAGAAACCTGTGTTCCCATGGAACAATAAAAAAATTTCTAGCTTAAGATGGAAAAAGCTGGTAAAAAAGGAATGGTTTGCCTTCTTTAACATATAATTGAAACTGGGGACCTTGGCTTTTTGCTTGCTTTATAAGCTGCTGTTTATAAGCTGAAAACAAACACTGATTTGTTATCTTGGCTTGCAAAGGGACCAACAAATCTGGAATCTTTGTTTTAACAGCAACATGCAGACCAGAACCAGTTTGCTGTTGGGTTAGCCTTTTAATATTTAAGCTTTCAAGATATTTGTAATGGATTTTTGATTTTTTGCGTTCCTAACTTCGTGTATCTTTTTTCTTTTGGAGTAGAAGTGTCCCCAGGACTTCTAAAGCTGAAGTGGCATAGAATGAAATTATATGGTTTAGCTTGGCTATAATGGCACAGTATGGTTTGTGGTTGCAAGAGTAAGCCATACAAATCAGAGGCTGGTGTATTCTGCTGCTCCTTCCTCTGCCCACAAGAAGAGCAGAACAGAAAGTTTCTATCTTGGTTAGCAACAAACTTGGGATCCCAGTGTTCACACATTCTGCATGGTGCTCATAATGGCAACCAGTGTCACTGAACTGAGTTGTGTAATTTGGGTCCTGCAAGTTTTTGGAGGCTGGTTGGCAAACACTCCCTATTATTTTTCCTTCTAATAATCTGATGTTTCAAGTGAATTGTTCCTTGCGTGCTGTAAGAAGTTTTTTTTAAATGCAGTTTTGTGCAAGGATTTCTGAACTGCCCTCAGGATGTTTTTCTGTAAGAGCTGACAACTTGACAATGGAATTTGTCTAAAATTCCATCAACCTCATTTTAATAGTAAACATGCCAGTGATTAGGTGATGGCAGCACGACTTGTGGGCTAGGGTTTTCCCACTTCTCATCTCAGGAATGTGAATTTGCCTTGTGATTAAATAAATCCTCAACATCCTATAGATGGAATTTTTGCAACAGAATACAATCTACATCTTGATGGACATTATTGTGAAGAATTAGACTTGCAAAAATATTAGACTGTGCTCTATACGATCACCCGACCTACAGTTAACTCACTCTCTCTCACACACACACATAATTGGGAACAAACTGCCAACACACTCTGGAAAGCAATTTAAAAAAAAATCTTGGTAGAGAAATGATCTTAGCATTTAGGAATGAGGATTGCAGATCACTTGCAGAAGAAGAGGGTGAAAAGTCTACAGCCTGCTTTATCATTTGTGTAATTTATGAAGATCCTATTAGTTGCTATATTGCTCGCCTATATACTGTAATTTGGCACTACCCACTTCTAGAGAAAAAAATGCATCTAGGAAACCACTCTTGCATTTTTGCAATGACAATAAAGGCTTATGAGGTGGAAAGAAAACAATCCACAAATCTAGAAGGCTGTTTCAAAAATGAATGTTTAGAATTCAATTCAGTAATTCTGTATTATAATTACTAGAGACAGAGATGAACCGAACCACGAACCAGAAAAACCGATGAATCAGGCTGGTTTGTGTTTCAGTTTGTGACCCAGTTCAGCAAAATAAAATACTGAACGTTTTTCCCCTCAGTGCCCAGCTGCCCACTTTCCAATATCCCCACCGCTTCCCTACCCGATCCTGCCCCTGTTGCTTCCTCCTCTGCTGCCATTGTCAGAGACAGTGTGCCACCTTCCCTTCTAGGAGCTGGGCCTGCTGTCTCTGTGCATGCACCTGCCTTGCAGCTGATCAGGGCAATCAGCTGGTGGTCAGAGGCATGCGCAGAGGCAGCTCTCAGGATCCTAGCAGGGAAGCTGGTAGATGCCTCTGTGCATGTGCCCATCTCCCAGCTGATGGGAGTAATCAGCTGGGGATCAATTGTATGTGCAGAGGCAATGTCTGTGCTCCTTTCAGGGAAGCCGCACTGCTGTCACCTTCCCAGATCCCATGTGTAAAGGCAATGACTGGCTTCCTTGCAATGGCACCTGGAGAGGCAGTGGTGGTGTGATGACAGTGGTGGTAGTCAGCAGCAGTGGTGGCATGACTAAACAGTGTGACAACGATGGCAATGGTATGATGGCTACAATGATGGTGTCTGTATGACAGAAGCAGTAGCTCCCCCCAAGTATGAATGAAAACTGAACTGTGAACAGGTTCAGTTTTCTGTTTGATTTGTGATGGTTTGTGATGAACCATGAACTATCATGATCCACCATTTTTCAGGTTCATGCCCATTTCTGTTATTTCTACCATTTGTTATTCTACCATTTGTTATTCTGGCTAGGCCTGGTGGGAATTGCAGTCCAGCAGCATCTGGAAGACCACAGTTCCTCATCCTTGATCTATAAACATGCACATTCTGACCTTGCATATTTAACTGCAAACATATAAACTATGTGTTAACTCAGCATTGGTAAACACAAGTGCTGTGTCAATCACTTTTCAATGGTGATAGAAGGCATATACACATATGTACAGTGGTGCCTCGACTTACGAACGTCCGGACATACGACCATTTCGAGTTATATACCAGCTCTGGCCACAAAATTTTGCTTCAACTTGTGGCCAGAGCTTCAAGTTACAACCAGAAAAGGGCAGGGGAAAAAGGCGAGGAATTCAAATTGCTAACCGTTGGTGGCGAAGAGGCTGCTTCTTTGTAGCTCTTTTGCCCCAGTGGTTAGAGAGTATGCGAATGGAGTAGGCTTCAGACTGCCTGATAAGGTAAGAGTGTGCTTTCTCCTTTTTAAAAACTGTTCTGGTTGGGTTTCGCTGCGTTGTTTTGAGCTGTGTGGTAGATTATGTTTCTATGCTGTGATGGGTCTTGCAGGGTTCATTTGTTTTTTAGGTCCCCCCCCATTTCTGATGGGTCTTGCGGGGTTTGTTTGCTTTTTTGGGTCCCCCCCATATCCGATGGGTCTTGTGGGTTTTTTTCCCATATCCAATGGGTCTTGTGGGGTTTGTTTACCTTTTGGGCTTTCCCCCCATTTGGGGTTTGTTTGCTTTCTGCTTTGCTCCCCCCCCCCCATTTCCAATGGGTCTTGCACGGTTTGTTTGCTTTATGCTCTGCTTTTTTTTTTTTTGGTATTTCCGAAGGGTCTTGCATGGTTTGTTTGCTTTCTGCTTTGTTTTTTTTGCATTTCTGAAGGGTCTTGCACGGTTGGTTTGCTTTTCTTTCCCCCCCCTCCTTCAGCTGCAGTGGATTAATTATGTTTCCAATGGATCTTGCAGTTTTTGTTTGTGGATTGTTTTTCTTCATCTGGAAGGGATTAATTACATTTCA